TCTCTCTCTCTCTCTCTCTCTCTCTCTCTCTCTCTCTCTCTCTCTCTCTCTCTCTCTCTCTCTCTCTCTCTCTCTCTCTCTCTCTCTCCTTCCCTTTCTCTCTTCCTCCCACACCCCTCCCTGCCTCCCTTCTGCCTTTCCCTTTCCTCTCTTCCTCGCTCTTGTTCAGATCACCGTTTCATTTGTCCTTTCCTCTTTCCTCTCTTGTTCCCTCCCTCCTTCCTCCTTGCTCACTTCTACCCTTCCTCTCTTCTTCTCTTGTTCTCTCTTCCTTCCTTTCTTTCTTTCGTCAGATTACTCAAAGTCCGTCCCTTCCTCTTCCCTCCCTTGCTCTCTCGCTTCGGATTACCGTACCTTCGTCCGCTCCTATTCACTCGCTCTCGCGCTCTTTCGCTCTCTTGCTCCTTGCTCTCTCTTGCTCTCTTCCTTTAGATCACCGTATACCTTACTTATCCCTGCTTCTGGCCAAAATGCTTGCATACACGCTGAAGTGTTTCGCCCGAAAGAATACTGATTAGATATGACATCGGCCATCAGCGTCAGGGACGAGTCGGATGGATATGAGATCGAATTATATTCAACTATATCAGGCAATTTCGAATGCCGATCCAATGTCGTACAGCTGCTGGTTCAACTAACGGGCGTCTCGCTAAAAGGGCAATCAGAGAGAAGCAGAACAATTTGATGCACAGCATCCCGACCTCTGATAGCATCTCTGTACACGTGGCGTTTTGCACATTGGCCACACCCCGCTACTAAGAGAAATGCATCTGCGTGTCTTTGGCTCCGTTTGCGTGTCAGCGTGCGTGCGTGCGTGCGTGTGTGCGCCTGTATGCGTGTGTGTGTGTGTATGTGTGTGTGTGTGTGTGTGTGTGTGTGTGTGTATGTGTGTGTGTGTGTATGTGTGAGCGTGTGTGTGCGTGTGTATGGGTGCAAGTCAAAAGAACGCCCGCTGTGTGTGTGTTTGTGTGTGTGTGTGCGTGTGTGTGTGTGTATGGGTGTGTACTGGAAGATCCAGGTAAAGCAAAGATCACAAGTGCCATTTACGGCCAGATTGATCAACCGTCCCTACTAAAAACTCCTTCCTCCTACTGCCTCCCCATACGAGGTAGCGGAGAGTGCAGAGTGCAGAGTGCAGAGCGCTGAGGCATAACGAGTCACAACAAGACGAAAGGCAATTTCGTATCCCATGTGGCGATGTCCCAGGACACCAAAACAAGCGAAGCAGTGCGCGTTTATAGTTTCGCGCCAGCGGACGGCATTAATTGCTTGACTAGCGCGACAGCATGCAACCTCTTGCCGTCGTATCCCTCAGGAACCAACCAATCCACAGGGTTCATCAATGTACCCCCTTCAATGTACCCCCTTCTCTCTCTCTCTCTCTCTCTCTCTCTCTCTCTCTCTCTCTCTCTCTCTCTCTCTCTCTCTCTCTGTGTGTGTGTGTGTGTGT